TATTTGCAAGAAGATTCGTGAGGAGAAAGCAGCCAGAATCATCAAGCAGCTGGTAAAGACCTTCAAAGAGATTTATTTGAGGGGCGTGGTTCACCAGAATCTCAAGCTCGACAACATTCTTTCCAAGCTAAACATGCATGACAAGTGGTGATCAGCACCTTTAGGAGATATCACAACAGCGAAGTACATGGCAGCTGAGTTGTTGGAGAACAAGGATTGGAGCTCTACATGGCAGCCATCGAAATGTGGGGGCTAGGAGCAATTTTATACAAGACGCTGGGAAAGGGAGGATACCAGCCAATGGAAGCATTTGATCTCATGTGACAGGGGGCGACCTCTGTTTCGGATCCACGGCCAACATCTTAGAAAGGAGATCCTCTGCTGCAAACAAGCAAGGACCAATCAGGTTCAGGTTCGATCAGGTTCTGCAACACCCATGGATTTGTCAAAAATTGCAGCATTAAGACCGACAAGCTGTGAAGGAGTGGTGTGAAAAGGAGTGCTCCCGGCCTTGAGAACAACTTGGGCATGAAGAAAGTTCAAGTGGCTTAAAAGAAAATGCCAGCAGTAAGTTCCTATTTCCTTTTCACCATTACTAACTTCATTTGCTTGCGTTTTTCTTTTTTGTATTCTCCGGACATCAACATCTCTTATGTCTATGGCTGGAAAACATTTTCAGTGGCTGCCGAGAACAAATGCAGAATGAAAACAAGTTGGAACGAAAAGGAAAACGAGGGAGTTGAAATGTAAAGAAAGAATTGTAAAACGTTTATTGATATATATATATATATATATATATATATATATATATATATATATATATATATATATATATATATATATATATATATATATAAAAATATAAATATATATATATATATATATATATATAAAATACTGGAAGTTTCAAACCAAATAATGAAAAATATGCAGCTTATTCACAATGAAATATTTTAGATACTGCTCAAGCAACGGAGATAAAAATCAAAAAACAAACACAATTCTAAATGCAATGAGCAACTAATGGGTGGTCTTGATAAATTACTAAAAGAGATAAATCCCTATACTAATGCATTCACAATATTGTAAGAAATAGAGAATGAAGTGTTAAAATTAACAAATTTTAAAGGAGGCATAAATGATATCGTAATACATATAAAAGGCAATTAGACAACTGCTCCAAGATAATATAATGCACTAGGTTCAAATGATTTTAAACATTTAGTTGTACAAAGATGGTATTCATTGATGAATTTTTTTATTATGTCTACTATGTACGATATATTTAAAACAAAAAATATGTTCAATATGTTTAAACATGTATTATCAAATCAATCATATACTCTTTCTTCTATAGAATAAAAACTTTATAGAACAAAGAGTATCTGATTAATTCAATGCTACATTATTAAAATTAAACATAATTTTTTTACAAAGATGGTATATAGTACACACAATAAAAGATATACTATAAAGTTAAAAGTAAATTAAGTAGTGATTATAGAAATGATATATTTTATAACTTAAAATAGAAGAGTTGAATAGCTCCAGCTATTATATCTTGTAAATAAGTTATACTTTTATCATAATCTTATGATTTTTAACTTTATGATATTGCACAAATATGAGACTATATCTAAGCTAAGAGACAACTCAATATGAGTAGATTCATTGATGAATGTGTAATAACTCTGTTATTTACACTAATAATTTATGCATTGATACATGGAAAACAGATACATAAAATATCACTGAGACAATATTAGACAAATACAAAAGGCTACCATCTTAAAAAATGTGATTCCTCATCACTTAAAAATTTTTTATTAATAAAGCAATCAATGGACCTTTTTTTTATTTTCTGATATTTTATGGTTTTAGGAAAAAAACAATATTATGAATCATCAATACCATAATATCAGGATAAAAACATAACTTTCATTGAAATATTTTAGTCTCAATGTAAATTTATATAAAAATAAATTAAAAATAAAGGTAAAAATCTTAATTCATTTTAGCATTCTCTATATATAAAAACATATACACAAAAAAACTTAATGATATAAAATATAATACCTTAACCTTTAGATAGTACTTCTAAAAAGCATAAATGTAAAGAGTATTATGGGATAGGATATCGAATACAAATATGGAAAAAATAATTCTAAAAAAAATATAATGTAATTTTAAGGAATATTTTTAAATATATTTTAAAAATTACTAAATATAATAAAAGAAAAAAAGTATCTAAATTAGAATATAAAAAAAGTAATTTCTATAAAAATATGATATTTTCTAACATAAAATAGAGGAGTTAATAGTTCTAGATATTTGTTGTGTAAAATATTTTCTCATTAGTAAACTTATGGTTGGCTAAGATGTAGTCTAAGATTTATATAATATCATAGATTTTCTACCACTTTATCCTACATTGCATTTATACATGAAAACATAATAAGGTATAAATATGATTGAGATAACATTAGTACATG